TGGAATTTGCTGGTTCCAGGTATTCCAGCAACCCAAATGAACCTGTCAGTCAGTGATACACCAGCAAATATTCTCTCCAGAGAAGTCAGCCTCACCTGCAGCTCTTTGGGGAACATGTGATGTGTTACCTTGCAGAAATTAAGGTAACATCAGTGCTTTCTCCATATAAGAACAGAAAACCACATTGTCTTTGTCTGATACAGAACAGGATTTATCTTGGTGACTTGTTACAGATTTTAGAGCTGTCTCAGGAGATGAGCTAGTAATTATTCAGGTACATGAGCCTTTTAACCTTTCCTTGTTGCTACACATGGAATTGTGATTAAAACATAGGGATTTTTTATTGCTCAGGCTTTCTCCCTTCCTGGAATTCAGTTATATTTTGGGCCTGAGTAAGCAAATAGTCATGCCCTCAGGATTAGGTTAATAGACATACGATGTTAGAGCGTAAACCAAAGTGAACCATCCTAGGTGAGAGTGCCTGGAATTCTCCAAGCCTGGAGTTCTCCAAGCCTGGAGTTCTCCAAGCCTTTTCCCTTTGTTGTCTAGCAGCACCCTGTAAGGAAGGGGTTGGAGAGAGCTGCTCCCTGTTGTAGGTCACTGAAGAGGCTCTGGTGTGGGGCAGTTCCTTCTTCCCCTCCCACACCAGCACTGCGTACACTCCTCTGTTTGGTCTACAAGTTCTGTTTTCAAAATGTATGACAGAGAAAGTCTGGAAATCTCCTTGAAAGGAAACATTTGTCTCTGGTTGTGACTGTAACCCTATTAATGTCCCAACAGGGATCAGTGTGTAACTCTTCTCATTTACTGAGCCTTTCTGTGTTCTTTCTTGCTATAGCTTATTCTGACTATTATCATCTGGACCAGAAATCAATGACTGGCATTGTTGTCGGGGTTTGCATAGCCTTGACCTGCATCCTTATCTGCATCCTGATCTTAATTTATCGCAGTAAAGCCAGGTACGTTTTTGTTCTTGATGACTGAGCTCTTTCTCAATGCCTTCTGCAAGAGTGCTAAGTCCCCTGGAGTCCTCTGTCTCTTCACCTGTTCCTGCTAGCAGTGGAAACAGAGCACTTTGTTGGTTCTTCCTACTTTACCTTCTCCAGTGAAAAGAAGGAAGAACCCATAGAGTGAGTCAGTGGTGCTGTGACAACTAAGTATGAGGCATGTTTCCAAGTAACCCCCCCATTTTGAGTTAGATAAGCATGCTGCTTTACATCATCGGCTCCTTCAGCAGCCCTCCAGCCTGCCCAGGCTTGGCTTGCAAGGCTTTACTGCTCTGGTGTTGCTGGACAAGAGGAACTCTGACATGAAGCAGTTCCGTGATGCAGTTGCTCTGCAGTGGTGCAATCTGTCTTGTCATCAGCTGCTATGGGGCATAAACTGGCCCAGTGGCCCTGCCCACAACTTTGGGATCAGAGCAAATATAAGTTACTTGAAACAATAAATGAAAAAAATGTCTGAAAGTATATTTTAGTAGCAAGGACTTTTTAGCATACCTGCCGGAAAAAAATACGGATTTGGAGACAGTCTCTGTGTAGCCTGGTAGAAAAGTCTTAGTATCATTAGTGGTTACTTCCTCCAAGTAATATACTAATCATGATAATTCCTGTCTGCATATAAACTTGTAGCATACTGTGTATGATTAACTGGAGGCAGATGTTATTTTTATCACAAGCAATATATTTAAATTCCATGAGAGTTAGTATCATATAACAAAATGTAAATGCCAAGAATATACCAATATTACTTGATTAATAATAGCTTTGAAGTTTATCCTTAATTATTTTATATTTTCTTCCTGTGGATCAGTTTTATTTCTGCTTAACGTTGTGTAGGAAAACATCTGCTCCTAAACCCGGGCAGCAAAGCACTGACCAGCTGTCACACAACAGCATCTCATTAGCCAGTGCTAATGAGGTGGAGAAGAGTATTGAAGGAATTGCAGAGAATGAAGAATCCTTATTGCCAATGATAGTGGGAAGCAGCTTCATCGATGCTAAGGTACAGTGAGCTTTGCTCACTCCCAAACCAGAAATCTTTCTTTAGAATCCATTGCTGCAGCATCAGAGTCCTTACCAAAAGTAAAATAAATACACTACAAACCCACAGGAGGTTTTTAATAGGACCAGCACGAGTTTGGCAATCCAGGGTCAGATTTTCAAGACTTGTCTTGAAGTTCAGGTAGAGATCTGATTCAGTACACTTGTCTCACACTGTACTCTGCAGATTGCAGAGTCTGGCTCCGGCCCAGCATCAGAGGGTGAAAGGCCCATGGACTTAGGGCTGCTCGGTGCCCTCTACCAGTGCAGGGGGAGAGCTGAGAGTCCTTGGCAAGTGTGATCACTGAGCAGGTATTAAAGAAAACATTTTTCTGTATAGTTTCTGGTAAAACAGTGTTACATTTTATAAACTCCTATTTGGTCAAATTATAAATGAATCTGGATTGCAGGATGCATCAGTGGATGTGTAGAATCTTACAGTGCAGGAGTTCGGTGACAAAATGTGGCAAAACCACACTGGCCTTACTCTCAGAGGCAGACATACTGATTCAGGGCTTGTTCTGTGCACGCCGCAAACCTGCACGAGCGGAGCTGCTCCCTGTGGGTGTGTGCCAGAGCTGGGAAACGGGAAGGGACCCCGGATAGGCACAAATGGTCACGTTCAAAGTTGTGGAGCAAGAGCAGTGGCTGGAGCATTTTGCTGTGTGTTTGCAGTATTGTAGCTGTTGGGTCTGGCCTGGGGGATTCCCAGATTTAGTGGGTCTGGTCTTGACTTACCTTGATTAGTAGATGAATACCAGACCACAAACACGTGACTGAGCACTAAGACTGTGTCTTCCTCTTCAGTATGGAGCTAATAGGTAGGAATAGAAAAATATTTTCAAATATCTTAGAAACTTAATTTGTTAAAATAAATGTCTGCGTCTCCCTCTGTTGTAGGGGGGATCTGATCTGATTATTAACAGCTACGGGCCGGTCACAAAGGCTAACTGCAAGAAGAGGTGGCTGTTCTTCCAAGATACTAAGAAGGTGAAGACCGAGGAGGTAATTGGTCTAATGGACGGAGATGTGCAATCTCCGGTGTGGTATCCTGGGTTTACAAAGGAAGATAGGTAGTTTTCTATTTATGAAGAAGCATAATTAGTGATCTAAGTTTTAATTGGAGAGTTTCAGTTGTGTTGAGGTTGATGGTGTTTTACCATGTGGTAAAGTTTTACGGACGTTTAATTTTCTGTCCCAAGTTGTCAGGTACTATAGCTCTTTACAGTTAACTGATGACTCTCTTGCCTGTGCTCTTTTACCTGTGAGCAAAAGGATTTCTGTGCACTGGGTCTGTGCAGAGCATCTGCAGAGACTTTGTATAAATATAAATACAAACTAAATATGTATTTATAAATAAAAATAATACAAAAAACTGTAAACAATCCCCTCCTACCCTGACAGCTAAAACTTTGTTTGCTGAAGAGAAACCAAAAGAGGGAGGCTAAATGATTGACCAAAGAAATTGCAAATCTGAGTGGAACTGTCTGGCTTCCGAAAGTGTTGCTCTGGACACATTTGCTATTTGGATGAGAAAAGTAACAGTTTAAAACTGAAATGTTAAACCAAATCCTGAGTATTACCATGCAAATTCACACCTACGGGCCATCTAACTAATATTTATTGAACTGTAGCTTGTATTGTGCTCTTGTATGTTTAAGGAATAGAAAATCCTGATATCTGTGTTTCATATTCTAAAGTAGTTCCAGAAGCAGGTGCCTATTTCTGATGCCTCTGTAAGAGAAGTATTTGCTACCACCCAAGGAGTAATGCCTAAAGAATATGCATGAAGGGATGGGAGAGAGCACTACCGAGTATGTTTTTAAAATACCATTCAGGTCTCTCCAGTGAAATCATTCTTGATTAGTCATGCTTAGCTAGAAGGGATTATTTCATCTATTATGGAAGAGAAGAGTATGAGCAAGACTCGAGATTGATTCTTTTTAACCTCCTGTAGGACAGCTCAGATTGTTCGGAGCCAGGGCTGTTAGAGGCACTCCAGCAGAACAGGAGAGAGGGAATGCAGTAAAAATGAAAATTATTGAAATGATCAGCTTTTCAGAGGCTGGACAATCTTTTTCTCTCTGCTCTCTGTGTAGCCTCAGAGGAGATTTGTCCAGGCGGTGTGTCTGTACCAGCCAGGCCCCAGGGTGCTGCTCGGAGAGGACGAGTGCCCCGGCGCTGCGGGCCGGCCGCCCAGCTTCCCCGGGCCGTTCCGAGCTGACACCGAGCACTCGGCCAACAGCGAGGGAAGCCACGAGACTGGGGACTCTGGAAGATTTTCTCACGAGTCCAACGATGAGATACATCTCTCCTCTGTGACAAGTGCCACCCCTCCCGCTGCCAGCCCTTTCGTAAGCAGTGACTTGGGTACGAGCAGGAGGAGCCCTGCCGTGAGTAACTGCACAGCGTCTCCTCTGCCGGTGGCTGCTGACCAGACTCCTACCTCACCTCTTCAGATACACTCTGCAGTGCAAAACTGACACCCTTAGGGCCACGCCAGACATTCTCGCCGTGTATGTCTGTTCGAAGGACAATGAACAGGGAGCCAAAGGTTTATGTTGTGGAAAGCCTGACTAACCTAGCAGGTGATCCTATATTTCTGTTGAATTTTTTTTTTTTTTCTTTTTTTTTCTTTTTTTTCTTTTTTTTGTTGTTGTTTGTTTTAAAAACTCACTCATTTTGAATGTTCAGTGGTCAACAAATGTGAAAGGACAGTGAAGATTTCTGACTAAAGTTAAAAATATGTCACTGGAGCAAAGGGAAGGCTGTTGGCCCTTTTGCTGACTATCTACCTCAGTTTGCCGAGGGGTGAACTCTGAATGACAACTGCTTTACCTCATTTGTGTTCTAGTTGGTCTCAGCTATGGAACTGATAATACTTCCTAGTAGTGTTGTTTTATTTTGGGTTTCTTTTTTTGTTTGTTTTCAGTTGCGTGTAGAATGTGTGTGTGTGTGTGTGTGTGTGTATGTGTGCGTGCGCACGTGTGCGCTCAGTGATCAGGGAGTTGTATAGGTAGGTGAATGAGATTGTTTAGCTGAAGCTCTGTCTTTAAAAAGAAGGAAACCTCAGAGTATAAAATGTAATGATTTCATGTGGTTGACACAGAGGATGTTAAAAACTGGGAAAACTGGAGTTGGTGCATCCGCCAACAGCCACATGAAAGCTTTTGTTCCTCTTAATTTCTCACGGCCCCGGTAAGCCTAGGACAGTGCCTTTTCCCCAGAAACTTGTGCCAGCAACTGCTGACAGGATGTATGCTATATCCTTCGGGCTCTGGGACATGTTGGGTTCCCCACAGTGACAAATGTGCCCTTTTATTGACAGTTAATGCTAAAAAGCATCGCAAAATGAAGAAGTATGCAGCATTTCCAAACCGTTTGGCTCAGTCACGGAATAGATCATGTTGAGTATTCCAGTATCACACTACTTCTTAGCAATGGTGCCTTGCATTATATAGTATGAAATTACTGATTTGCCTTATGCCTTTTTAGTATTCATGAAGTTGCTCTGGAGTACAGAAAGATGCCTTAAATGCTTCTTAGATGTTTTAAGTAATCAGTATCAGGAGTTTATCATTCATTTTTACCCAGGTTTGAGTGCTGATAAGCACTGCCAGCATCCTAGTGTGTCTCAGAGCTGTTGTTAGGATGCAGCCCTGCTCCATGCCTTCACCTAGCGTGCCGTTAGCCAGGAATTTTAGCTCAGGGAGTGACTTTACCCACATGCCAATCTAAAACTCTGATTAGGCTACCATGAGAAATAAAAAAGCCAGAGCTTTAGTTGAAGAGTCTGTTGAAAGAGGTGAGTACTGCTACTGCCTTGAACCCATGCAATTCCTGTTTTATACTACCTCCTTTAAAAGTTACTCTAGTTTTTTGGGGTTTTTTTGTTGTTGTTTTTTCCTGTACTCAGGGAACAGTTTGTTACTTTTGAGCTGCCTCACGGAAACGTGGAGCAAACTGACAGGGTATCACGTTTTGTTTTTTAAAAGGAGAGGGGGAGAGAGAGGGAGGAGGTTGGAATCATCCAATGTTATAAACTTGCCTGTATCTATATCCAGTCCTCTTCTCCACTTCTTCTCTTCTTCTGTTTTACTTTAAAAAAAAAAAAAAAAAAAAAAAAAAAAAAAAAAAAAAAAATTAGGAAAATTAGGCATATGTTTTGAAAAACAAATGTTTAAAATACAATGTTGTGAGAAAGCAACTATAGGAACTCCTGGCTCTATTTAAGTGTCAGAACTCCCACTGACTTTACTGGGGCCAAGGTATCACCCTTAAGGTAGGCCAGGCTGACTTTTGTATTGTTCCTCATGGATCAAAAGGTGGTCAGAAGTCATCAGTAAGCCCTACTGTTCTGTCTGCTTTGTGTTGGTGAATCAACCTCTAGTTACTCTAGTTCCTTGCCTTGTAACTGTTTGCTAGTTCTGAACCAGACAGTACACATTCACCTTTTCATAACAGTGTTGATTCAAATGCTTTAAAAATAATCTTGTACCAAAGACTTGCTGTAGAAGAGAAGGAAGCCACATATTGTCCAAAAAGAATTGAACTAGTTAAAAGCTATAGTTTTGAAGAGCTGAATACATTTTATTGTATAAGTAGTTACTAACAAAAACCAATAGGGCTTCTTGATTGTAGTAGTTGATTGCATAGATGAACTGTATGCTTCTGCAATTTTAACTACCTTGTTGTTACAAGAGCCTTTAAAGAAAGTTATAATAATATCAGCAGATATCTCCAAAGACTTCCAAGTGTAATTTTTTTTCTCCAGCATGTAGTTGATCAACAATACAGTATTAAAAAAAATAATAATATTTTTGAACAGTTTTTTATCTACTTGCTGAAGAAAAAAGAAAGCTTTTTCACCAAAGATTTATTTTTGGTTTTGTCAGGCAGAATGTTTAGTGTACAGCAGAATACTGTTTCTAGTTAGGTAAAGTGTGAATTAATCAAAACTAGATTAAGGATGTGTAACTGTAGCCTGAAGTTTCACACTTCATCTTCCAGAGTAGCCTCTTGTGTTAGTTTCATCCAGAAAGAGCTGATATGCAGATGGTAACTGTTTGCTTCTCCAAAGATTTGTTTGCTGTAAGTACTGATAATCTGATGTAATTTTATGACCCTCATTACAGGTAAATACTTTAAATCCTAAACTTTTTCTTCCAGAGACCGACTCTGTAGTTTAAACATGGATAATTTGAGAGAAACGGACTTCATATAAAATGTATGAATTTGATAGAAATGCTCTAACTTCACTAGCCAAAGAGTTGAAAATATTCAGTGTATTAGAGAGCAGTGCATCCAGAACACTATTTATTACGTAACATTTGTTAAGGTACTTTTTATCAGCAAATAAAGAAAACCAAAGATATTTAAGGTTACCTCAGCATATAGGCAAGCTTAGTTAGACATTAATTATTCTGTCTTTTTCTTTATTTTTATGTTAACCAAATATAATACGTTTCTCCAGAACCCAGTCTACATTCATGTGCTTCCCTTTTGTCACATAGTCACGATACCTACAGAACAAAAAATACATTCTCCTCAAAGTTCACAGCCTATTACCAATATATCACAAGATTTTGGGGGAGAGAATTTGTCTTATGATTGAAAACTCCACCAATGAAAGCAAAGGAATCTCCAGAAGAATTGTGTAAATGGACACTTTCTCCACTGAACTCAACAGCAGAATCCTTCACGATTGTAACAGCACAGAACAGGGCTCAGTCAAAATGCTTCATATCCTTGAAGTCAACACGTGTAGTTATAGGTATGATATTAGAGACACAAATTTTCTTAAAAGTTTATACCTGTGGCTGTCTGAGGAAATCAGTTTTTCATATGTAACTTCGTTTATTCCATTTTCCTAGAAAGAGCTGGCAGAACACAGCAGGCAGAATGGTTTTAGGTTTTCCAGTATTTTTTTTTCTTGGTTATGTCTGTAGAAACTGGGTCCTGGAGAAAAAAAATATATCATTTTTTTAATTATTAATTTTACTAAATATGTTCTGAAAGATGAACATAAATGTGGAATTTAGTGTTACACTATGTCAGTTGATTTTGTTTAAGTGTATTAAGAACTAAGGAGCCATGGCTGGTGTAATGAGTGTATATGCAACCCTTGTACTTCAGAAAGAAAGCAAAAATGTTACAGTTGATGTGACTTGAAAAGCATCAGAAGTTATAGAGGAAATCTTGAAACTGGCTCACCGTGCTAATTGTGTTTCCAGGTGAGGACTCTGTCCTTCAATTGCAACAGAAATGCCTGTTCTGCAGGACCTGGATCCAAACCCAAATGCTCAACCTGCCCACAGTTCCACTTGTGTATTTCCTCCATAATTAACAAATAAAAAGTATTTTCGTCTTTCAGGAGTTATCTAGGAGAACTGGGAATGTGTATAGTGTGTGGAACAGGTCCTATCAGTTGATTTATTTTTTTTTTAATAGCTCTGCTTTTGTAAAAGAAACTTGAAAAATCTACATATATCTTTTAATAACTTCCTGTATTAGCTGTGCATTTTCTGTATAACTCACGAGATTTTAACAGAAAATGGTACCGAGAGGTTTCTTTATCTGTTTATAATTATTCTTCCTAGTTCACTCCCCTCTGGTTTTATTTCCTTGCTTTAGACTGTGAGCTAAATCTTGTTTGCCTTATTCGAAGCCGAGTCCTCATCCTGTTTATTTTAAGTTAATGGGAGAGTTAATTTTTATTTCAGTTTGGATGGTCTGGACAGACAAAATCAGGTTTTTTGTGGCTTGTTTGTTTTTTAAATCTTCACAGGATTATTATTTTCAAAGGACAGAATACTTACGTGGTTAAAACTCCCATTGCCAAATGGATTTTTCTAAGATAACGTTACGATCTGTCAGAGGTCCACTGTAACTCTCCATGCATCCAGTCTTAGCCTGTAGTAAACAGTGAGTATTTCAAGGCAGTTTACCTCTTGCAAACTAAGCCAACTTGAGTGACTTAGCATTTGCTGCAACCTGAGTGTACACAAACGTAGTTACCATGGGCTGCTGGGTCTCAGTAACATGTTACTCTGAGCAAACTTGTAAGCCCAGAGACCAGGAGCTCTTGCTCATTTTGTTCATTACAGAATGAAATTAATGTAGGGGAAAGTCCGTCACCTAACGTGGGAAGTGTTGGTGGGTTTTATGGGGTGTTTAGCCAAAAATACCATCCAATAGCAGCTGAAGAGAGAGCTGCACAGGTGTAACTGTGGCGGTATTTCACAGAAATCAATTTACTGAAGTTATTCTGGTAAAACTGAAAGCAGGATTACACCTAGTAGTTGCTGAAGAGGTAATTCTTAGCTTGAACAACTGTTATACACTTACTAGTTGCTGCAACTGCAGCTCTGCTAACAGCAAGCAGTTTTGAAAGCAGAGGAGTTTGACTGCAGGAAATCCTGAGTGCCTTTCTACAATAACAAAAGTTAAAAGTAAGTTATTTACGGAACTATATTCTGGAACACGTGTTTCAAAACATACTACAGTACAAGCCCAAACCCAAACGGCTTTCTGTTAGTAAAGGCCCCTCTGAAAAGAACACAAATGCAGTTTGGCTCAAATGTGAGAAAGTTTATTTCTTTGGAATTACCGCTGGATTTACACTGAGACTGGTCCCGGTTGACTCAAACGGGACGTAAACACGTGCTCAAGGCGTTGCTGTGCTGGGCCCTCTGGTTGCACTGGGAGCTGCGCTCCTGGAGGGTCTCAGCATTTCGGGGTTGCATATACCCACATCGCACCTGCCGGGTGTGTTTTCCGTGAAGACTGACTGTGTAGGAAAAGCTGACTGACACAAACATTGCTTTTTGATTGTTTGGCTTTTGGGTTTTTTTCAAGTTGTGAATGAATTGCCAGTGTAGGAGCCAGGTATGTATCTCACTTTGTGGTGGTCTGGATCCTTTCACTCCCTGTGCCATTTTCTTCCAAGGGCAGCAGTGGCTGACTGGTTAATGGAGGATGGAGCTGAATTGTATTAATTTTATATTTGTCTCAGGGGATCAGCTCTATGAATTCCATTGCATGAGGGAAGCTAATGTTTGCCCTGATTTGAATGTAACTTTTTAATGTCTTTTAAAAACTATTTTGTTTAATAATGTGGATTTGTTTCGTTTTGGTTTTTTTCCCTAGCATTCTAGTCAACGTTACCTAGTGTGTTGGTTCATTTTTCCCCTCCAGGGTTGTTTATATACTACCCCAAGGTCATGCCAAAAAGTAATAGAAGTTTAAATGCCAAATGTTTATGAAACTGCTGTCTAAATACTGATTGATTGCACAGTTAAAATAAAAGTTTTCCTTAGTAAAAGTGCGACTTGATAAATATTTTATTATCGGTGTCTGTGATGAGTGGCTCACACCAAGGGCAGTACAAATACAGAGCCTTGTGGCAGGCTGAGTGGCTGGGGAGGTGTTGGAACTTGAAGTCATAAAAAGAGGTAGAGGGTAGACTGCACGTAGAACTTTATCATTTATGTACCTGGAATTATTTCCCACCTAAAAACTCCATCTGTGTCCCAGTACTGTCAAACACCCGTGCAAGATCTCCGTTTCGGTTTATTTTCATTGGGTGTGGAAGACGTAGTTCTCAGCACAGTTGTTTTCAGAAGTCTGGCGAGCTGCTGCCAAAGCTGCAGTACTGAGGTTTTTTTCTCAGCATTTTTACACCTGCCAACTGTTGAACCTGGTATTTCAACGTCTGACAGAATTAAAAACGCAGTTGCTGTTGGTCAGAAGGCAAACTGCTATTTTTACAGAGGACTACATCCTAGACAGAAGTCAGTCAAGTTAGATTAGTGAGGAAATTATGTTCTGCGGGGATTAAAAGGTTTCTATCGCTAGCAGGTTGATTACTGATTGCCACTTGAAAGCAACTGGGAAGTTGGCTGGCTGGGTGGTTTAGAGGGTTGGGCACGGAGCTGGACACAGAGTAGTGGTGCCCATGCAAATCTTACACTGCTGGAAATGAAATGACAGTCATCAGTGGAATCTGAACTCCTGTAATACTTAGGTAGGTTTGACTTTGGCTTTTCATCTGTATTGTTCCCTAAAAGACTGACACTGGATATACTTAATGGGAAAGAAAAGGTATTTCACGGGTATTTCAAAGCTTTGAAATGACAGTATTGGGAATTGAAGATTTGAAATAAATGTTCACTAACTTTCTCCTGTGTCCAGGAAATGACAGTTTCTGAACACACCGATTTATACTTATTTTGACCCTCTCTGAGGCATGTGCCCGGTCACTTAGGGGTGCCCCTGAGAGGGAGGGCGTGCTGGCTGCGCCCCTGGCAGACAGAGCTTTTCTGCTCTGGCGGGTCGGGCTGCCTGGATTCTACAGTAGAACCACGATGTCTTGCTTTCCTTTTGATTTCTCAGAAGACAAAGGAAATCCAAAAAGCCTCATCATGCTTTATGAATCACAGCTGTTCTTACCTGCAGAGTCTGCTTATAGAACAGTTCTGCCTAGTTGGGTAGCTGATACATTTATCCCTGGGAGTATTAGAGCACCAGCTGTGGTGACTATTTCTAAAACAAATGCTAATCCAAAATTCTTTATTCCTTATGTTCAAATATAGGAACACTGAAATACTGCTAATCAGAGGTAATTAAGAAAATGAGACCAATGCTGGAAAAAAAAAAAAAGTATTTTAACAGAGTATTTGTAAAAAATGAATAAATTTTAAATATAGTAAATAAATTTTAAAAGATAACAAGGAATTTCAAATCGCTAGGGAGCAGACAGTCTTGGTCTGCCCAGTGGTATGAAAGCGCTACCAGTGCAGTCCACCAGAAATGCTGTTCTTTCTCCAGGAAACTGGAGAAACGGCGGTTCCTGGTTGTGTTATCGCTGTACAGGTACATTTTACAGTCCAGAATCCTCATTCTCAATAGCAATAAATAAATAATAAAGCCCCATCTTCAAGGAGTTATTATTTCAAAGGCAAGTTTTAAAGCAGCCCTGGTTTGTGAGGTGATGCTGTGCTGCCTGCCTGCAGTCTGCCCCCAGCCTGAGTGTCTGAGCTTCAGCGGGGAGCTCTGGGGGCCACTGACACTGAGCAGCCACAGGAACTGAAATGACAGCGCTGCTGCTGCTGGCCTTAGTTCATCAGTGACATCACTCTGCAGTCGTTGCTTATCTGTGGGTTCGGATAAAAGGACCGGTACCTTGGAATAGGAAGGTTTTCTTTCTGCTGTGCTTTGCAGGTTCCTTGGCCCCACGCAGCGGGGAGTAAGGAGGGAAGGGTCTCTACCTGCAGCTGTGGCAACACATCAGGATCACGGGGGACTGCAGGTGAGCAGCAGTCCTTTAGGGGTTAATTCCTCTCCCTGTAAAATTGCCATCTCTGTTCAGAAGCAGAGTTTGTGCCTGTATTTGGCTGCTGCTGCTGTGCAGAGCCACCCGTGTTACAGGAACTGCCTGCCCCAAGGTCTAAACTGGGAACGTGTGTCTCCGGCCCAGTTCTCCACCAAGCGTGGAGCTCTGGTGACTGCTGGTTTGGAATCTCCTTTGCACCTGAAGCCAGACTTTGCGTTTTGTTATATATGAAAAAAGGCATCTGCCTTCCTTTCTTGCATTCCTTAAGTTATTTCCCTGAATATTTACAAGTAAGTCCAGCTGGGTTTTCTGTTTGGGGATGCATAAGCACTTGTTATCAGTAGGATTAACCTATGCCAGATCTTATTTCTAATACCTGTTGGCACTGCGCAGCCCGGTGTGTCTCCTCTTTTTCCTTCATCTGCAGTCACGGTCTCAGGACTGGTGTTGGAGAGAAGAGCATATCCCCTGTCAGTAAGAGAGAAGCTGTAAGTGCTAATGCTGTTGCTGCCTGTGTTTGTGTCCTCTTTCTATAATTAGTGTGTTAAGACATGGCTCTTTTCCTCCCCACACAGTGAAGAGGATGGAATTTGAACCCCCCTCTCTGCACATGCTAGAGCCCCAGGTAAACAAGCTCAGATTTGACAAAGAGATACTCTGTTGTTTCTACATGAAAGTGGAGTGTAAGCTTTATTTAAATCCCGTAATTTAAATCCTATTTGCACAGGAATGCACCATTAAGACACAGAGAAAATGCAAATAATTGAGAATCTAGCGGTGCCTCAGTGAAAGACAGACAATGCACGACTATCCCTAGCCCTTAGGATCTCCCTTGGCTGGCAGCAGAGACCTGGGGGCTGGCAACCGTCTGGCCAGCGGCTCTCTGAGACTCCTGCCCTGACTGTCAGGCATGAAGCCCCCCTTGGCCCGCAAGAACCAGCTGAGATGGTTTCGGGCAGGGCTGCGAAGTGTCCAGGTTCCTCGGGGTTTCTCTGGAGAGACGGCCCAAGCATCGCTGGGAAGTGACCAAACTCCAGGTGGGTCGGGGGATGCTCCATGCTGTAACCATCTGCAGTTCTGAAGGATGAACATGAATTTCTGTGGGTGACTGAAGATATGTTTCCTATTGTACTGCTCCATGGGAGGTTTTAAATCAGTGCCCAAACCGCTGGATTCTGCTTTAGCTGGAAGTAGACTGGGCACTCCCCAGAGGTTGTGTTAACAGGATGGTTTTGAATTTCCTTTTATCTGCATGGCAATACACTGGGAAAAAAAAAAAAAGATTTTCATGAGTAAAGCAGCAGATTTCTGGCTATGCTGTCAGGCAGTTGCACCACATGAAAGCAGGAAAAATGTTGCTTGCCCTACAGCTCACCACAGCCTTTAACAATTTGCATTTTGGTGTGCTGGTCTAGGAAATTAACCCCTCTGGTTTGCTGAAAGCTGTCACCAGGGGATGAGTGATAGAGCTTAACACATGCTGCCTCCTCACTTTCTGCAGTTTACAGTCATATTAGCTTGAAACAATCCCACTGAACTACTTGCTCATAGGCTTCCCTATTTTAGGTCATACAACTGAAGTTGAAAGTAAGACAGTTTACAGCACAGAATGTTAAATTAAAAAAAAATATTCATTTCCATTAAAAATGACATCATTCATGTTAGCAACCGTCATGCTTTGGAATAGATCCTGAATATTTGAAAGTCAGTAACAGCTTGCTCAGTCTCTACCAAATAAAACAATCTGGCTTTGCTTTACACAAAACCCACAGTCAAGGCAGAATGAATCCCCTGAGATCGAGATTTCCAACTTCAAAGGATAAGTTAACTCTAAGCTTGAGTTCTAAGTATTTCAATTAAAATTCTTCTGCAAAATCAAAAGCAAGACAATCTAGTTCATCATAGGAAAAAATTCTGATACTGGCTTTTACAACACTTTACAGAAAAAATGACTATTAAAGAGGAAACCACCCTCTTATTTTTTATATGCTGCATCTCTAGCTTTGTAATCTGCCTACAGTAAGACAAAATCCGAGAAAGGGGTCTGTCTATTAGAAGCCACTGTAGCACAGCCTAGAATCACAGCCAAAAGCCAGGAGGCCACTTGTGCCATTGTAAAGGCTCAGAGGTTTACCTGAGCCGGGACTACCGCTGAGCACTGGCGAGAGCTAGGATAGGCACCCTGGCACCCCGCAGGGTGTGCTGGCCTGCCTCACAGCCGGTGATTTAGAAGTCTCGGGCCAAGTGACGAGGTTGCCATTTGTAGTTGGGTTGACTGGCAACAGCCTTTTAATAGGAGCGTGCCACGTGGTTTAGTGTTCAGCAAGGTTTTAAGAGTTTGTGATGATGTTTCTCTTCTGTAGCTCGGCTGGGCCAAAGCTTAGAGCCCAGCCCTGCAGTTGCAGATAACTAAATGACAGGATTCCCATCGGAACAGATGTGCAGCACCCTAAAATGTAAGCCCCTAAATTTCAGATTTTGAATTGTACCCACCAGGCGTTAAGCCATGTCAAGAAATTTAATCCAGTGTGGTGTTTGCAGACAGATAGTGCGTGTATCTTAAATAATTAGTTCCACATTCTTTTCTTGAAATCCTGTGAATGTTAGCCCGGGGATTAGCAAAGATGCTCTTGGATGTAATGGGTGATGCAGCATCTATGTAACTAGGTCACAGCGTACTTAGGATGTTTAGTTATCTGGTCTCGTGTTCTTCCTCACTTCTGTTGCACAATAAACAAAAGAGGTAACCGAGTTTGATTCATTATCTGCTCCTAAAGGAGAGCAGAATTGAGAGATTTCATAGTGGCCTCTTTTAACTGCATTTTCTAACGATGGTATGTTTGTGATATCTTTTCTTTCATTTGAATTTTTATTTTGCTGCTTTAGCTGCATTTTCCCTTCATAGTCCATAAACCCCACAATTCAGACACTAGTTGGTTCCTGCTTCCCAGCAGGTCCCCTGTTACTCATAGGTACTTGTTCAAAACGGAGGTTTTGTAACAGCATTCCAGTAAATATTTTCCTTAAAAATTAAGACAAGCTATAGTTGCCAACAACAAAAAAAAACCCAACCAAACCCCAGCGCATACTGTCATGTAGCAGTCCCTTTGCCTACTAACTGTATTTCCTTGTTACTTGCTGTTGGTGGAAACGCTTGGCAATTACTGCAAGTACACGAGGTTTTTCTGCCAGAGGGTTTGTGACGTTATGGTGGGTTAACCTTGGCTGGCTGGCAGATGCCCACCAAGCTGCTCTCTCACTCCCTCCACAGAATGGGGAGAAATAAAATTAAAAAGCTTATGGTCAACAAAACTAGAGAGGGCTCTTGAGGAAACTGAGTGAAGTGCAGGAATTAAATGCTTGCCTCTTCATCAGGTCATGATCAACAGGAAAATGTAAAGGATTAAAGATGATAACCCAGAAAGCACAAGAAATTGCATTTCTTTCATTTCCCCACAGAGTGTCCCCATTTCACTATTCATTGCTCAACAGGCGACCACTTCTTGGAGTAGGTGGTAGACCTTTCTGCACTGAGGCGCCCACAAGTTTCTAAAACACGCATTTTTCCCTTTCTAAAATCTATTATCTTGATAATGTTAACATGGTAAACTGAAAGTTCCATTTTACTTATTCCAGAGGTAAAGGGAAAGGAAATCTTATGTTCCTTGGTGACTTGATGATCAAATTAGGGTTTTTTAATGCATATATATATATATATATACACACACACTGGATTTCTTGTCAAAACTTTTGTACTTTGGTATATAAACAAACACAATAATGAAATTTAAGTTCCTAGATAATCAATGTCTGTCTTCATATTTTAAATATTTAGGTAGCATACTTACTAATTTTTACATTTCTGCTATAAAATTTAATAGTTTAAAACTGTGGGTAAATTGTACATTTTCACTTTAGAAGTCATGTGTGGTGTTGACAAGTTTCTCAGGGCACTAAAGTTGTTTTTCCTGAAATACTTGAGCGTGGCTATATTTTAAGTGTAAGTTGAAAAGGTGTGTGCTCAAAAAAATAAATCAATTAGTCTTGCTAAGATTCAAAGCTAAGAGCTTGCTTTGAACTTAAAAAAATTTGTTCCAGTATAGATATGACACTAGAATGCCCTTTGTACATATTTCTGAGACATATTTTGATCAGTCTGCTAAGCTGTCTTGCGAAGCTTAGAAAACTGTGTTTCATCAGCCAGTGATTTGCTATGTGGTTACACAAAGGCATGATCCTTCTCAGGCTTTTTACTCGATTTCCAGATATATCATCCATCATATGGAAGAAAACTAATGCAGAGGACTACAGAAAAAAATCTTACATTCTTTCACAAACTGACTGGTAAAGCACCCTGTTCTGCACTTCTTCACTACAAACGGTTTTGTATTCATTTCAGATTAAAGTTGAAAAATGAACAGACAATTAATTAGATTTTGGGTTGTACTTTATATTATGTGGATGAGTGGTTAATGCAGAAATTGAGACAGTCTTAATTTTTGTTGATTAAAAGCAGAAATGAAACAGCCGTGGGCTGGGGAGACCTGGTTTACATCACCGTAACAGATGTAGCATTCACCAGTAGGCAAGCAATTTGCACTACACTAGCTCCGATGACTTGTGCTCACACTTCAGTTACAACCCCTGACACGGGCACGGAGATGCTCTACATGTGATAAGCCCTAGCGGGGACCTGGCTAACACATCGTCCCAGAGCAGCACCAGCTGCATAACCAGCTAGACTAATAAGGCATAAACCCCCATCTCTGTGTAACATAAATGTGCACGTGTTTGGTTTTACTACCCTGAAAAAGGGAGATGTGGAGGAGGAGAACAAATGAGTCTGGGGGAAGAGGTGTCACTCCATCGTAACACCACCAGTGCTGTCTCAGGCCTGACAAACTCCCTCCAGCCTTGATAAATAATCCTATTTATCAGAGCGGTATTGTGAAACACGTACAAGTTTGCAGAATGAGCACTTTGCTTTGTATAATGTGAAAAAGGGCCTTTTAGAAAAATTAATTACTGATTTTATTTTTTACTCTCATAGCAGGTGAGGAAATCAAACCTACTGATGCTGGAAGACTGTTAGGAGCTGAGGCTATCACAAGCCACATTTCTCTAAATGTGCCTTTCCTCCAGCTCAACGCTTTCTGTCCAGGTGGGAGAGAGACTAGTGGCTGCTTGGCTGCTGTGTCCACGTGCCAGAAAACCTGTGGAGGAGCTGCCGTCCTGTACAGACCCCCCGTGGGGGGACGTAGCCCCCTTCCACACGAGCCTGCGGGGCTCCCAGGTCCCTGTCCGCTGCACAGGGCTGCATTTCTCTCTTGCTGTGTAGGAAATGGTCTGTGATAAATTGATAAATCACAGTAACTTGACAGGTTAAAGCTGTGTGTGCTTTATTTTAGAACATATATGGCTTACATGAGAGGAACTTCTGTATTTTCCCCTGGTACTGGCAGTGGCAGAGTTACAGAGTTCAGTCAGCTTTTAGCTTTTTTCCTTCTGATGTCATGCTTCTCTTTTCTTTCCTAATTTTATTCCTCTGGTCTGAAATCTTGGCTTCCATAAAATCAAACAGAACAGGTCTTCTGCTTCTTCCTTTTTTGAATTCTTTAAAAGTCAGTAAATTTCTCCGAGGTGTTTATATTTTTTCCATTAGTGCACCTGCATATGTTCATATGTTGTCAAAAGGAGCTTCTGTGCTCCCCTCTGCTCCTGAGATACGCAGCAGTAGATACAAGTGAAAGATGCCGTAAAAACCCTTTAGATGTTCATGCTGTTGTGGATCCACGTCTCGCTGATATTTCTCTCCTGATAACGTAATGCAGTGTCGAATGTTCAGACACTGTGACGATGATCAGTGAAAGAACTTCCTCTGCCTGCTGGTGGTTGGTACAGAAAGGCTCTTGCAGTAGCCTTCTCTTTAACCTGGATTCAGAAGGAACCTAGCAGTTACCAAACCCCCTGGTCTATACTTCGAAACTGTTTTAGGGCCGATATGTCAGATGTGATTGAAGTTACTGTTACCTTACCAAAGGTGAGGATGAGTTATAAAGTATTAAGTAGTATTTGTTCACAACTGAGCACTCTGGCAGGGAGCAAGAGCTTTCTGAGGGGTTGGTTACTGTTAAAAAGAAGAAAATTATTTCAGAACAATAGAATCATTACACCTCAGAAGAACCTCGGGAGGTCTTAACTTTGAGTCCAAGGTCCTGCACAAAGCAAGGTTAATGCTGAACTTGGGCCAGGCGATTCTGGGCTTTCCTCCGTTGGGTCTTCAAAACCTCCCAGGATGGCAGTTCTACGATTTCTTTAGTCTCTTGTCCCAGTGCTTGCTTAGCCGCAAAACCATTTTTTCCCCCTTCCTCACAGCCAGTTGGAACCTTGTTTCAAATTACGGCCACCAAGTCTCATTTTCCTGTTACGGACTTCAGTTAAGAGCCTGCCACTCTTCTTGGTAACCTCCACTTAGGTGTTGGAAGGATGCTACTAGGTGCCCCTGAGCTTTCCTAACCTTTTGAGAGGAAGGAATGCTGGAGTCATTTTAAGGACAACCAACGCGCAGCAAGGCTGTCGGGTGGTGAATGGGGTGTGATAAGGAGAACTTTCATAGACTTTGTGGGAATATTTGGGATGCTGATGTAGGCACCCGAGCAAGTGAATTGTTCTCCCTTCAGACACTGTGTCAGCCATTTCCACTGGGGGTTTATAAGTGTGAAGTCAATCCAAAGGATTCTCGCAGACCACTCGCTAAAGACCCGAGTACAAGTTAAAGCTGAATGTGGATGAACAGCAAAACAGACATAATTTTTTGCAACTAGAGCACTGGGTTAAATCTGAATTCCCTGCTTGCATTTCTGATGCAGACAATCTCCCCCTAGGAACCTTTATAGACTCAGTGACATCAATCTGCGCATCCATAATTACAGTCTACATGCTATTACAAGGCAGCCTTCCACAAAAGCTCACGCAGCCCTGGGAGAATCATCCAGGCCTACAGCAAGCTCCATCACAGAAAATGCAAATCTCTTCACAGATAAGACACGTCTTCCTCCAAATATAGACTAGCTTACACCCACCTTGCTAATAACAGGCAATACTTCAGCAAGATCACACAAAATTAGGCAGCCGGTCCCACAAGAATATTGGCAATACGCAAACCTTCAAAGTGCGTGCATTTGGGGACTGCTGCAAAGTGTGAGACTGTGGACAAATAAAAACGATGTCTAGGGACGGGCAGAAATCGACATAAAATATTGAATTACTTTCTCCATTTTATTTAGTCAGACATGCAAAATGATAAAGGAAAACCATAGTCGCACCAATACCTTACCCTTTACACGAACGTCGCTGTTTCCCCCAGAAAGCGTTCCAAATACTGGAAAAGCACCGGCTGTCCACCTGGCAAGGCGGTGCGTAAAGAAACAGCACCGCTCGGTCCTGTGAAATAAGGTGCGTGAGCGAACCCATCCTTCGGGGCCGGGCATCTGAATCCCAGTGCAGGGAGGATAAATCCTCATCCGAAAGACAGTTATTTTTGATGGAGTCGGTTAGCAGTTTCGATCGAGGATGGGGGCTCCACCTGTGACGCCTCTCAAGTGCCGCCACTTCAGGCGATGGAAAACCGCCGCAGAGGAGTTTCCGCAGCGACTTCGCCTCTGCTCCGGGCCGGGAACGGTTCCCCCCGCCGAGGCCACCGGGCGGGCCGGG